TGTGGCAACCATGATTTACGTTTATTTAGGCACCGGGTAGTTAGGGACATAAATAAAGAAAAACAACTGAGAAACGTCAATATCTTCGACATTTCTATAGTATTAACAAAGGAATATAGGTGAGATTTCGAACTTTCATTCAAAGGATCCCGTTAAAAGACGTCGATCAAAGTAAGTGAAGCTGGATGATTCGTCAGTTCGTTCGTTACTTCATGTTCGAAAAGACATACATTGGTTTCTTAATTAATTATTGGATTCTTTACACCTTGATATATATTTAACACGAGAGTCAATTCGAGCCGTCCTTAAATATATAATGCGTCCGAGGACTAGTTTTTAGTTTGTATTTTTACGAGCGTGTAACATTACCCGATAAACGATAAGTGCAACGTTGGAGCTTTCGCTGTTGTGTTGTCGGCTCAATAAAATGTTCGGTCGATATCAATATACATTACCACCCCGTGTTCCCAAGCTTGTCATCAGTTTATGACTTTTTTATTCGGCCTGGTGACCAGAGAAATGCAATACCACTCCCGATTCTAATTTCTAAGCCGATACTGTAGAGTGCTATAAAAAGTGTAAATGACCCATTTCGGAACAATCAGGATACTATAAACTTGGTCAGAACACCTCCTTTTTAACCAAGTACTCATATACTTATATAAACTAATCAGAATAATATTAAGTCCTCGTAAACCCTATCTTGTTAAAAGATAAAGGAAACCTTCCCATTTAAAGTTTTTTTTTGTAACGTATGAATTCAAATTCTGAATCATCCGGATCAAAAATTTTAACCATGAAATCTACACCGCCTTATAACATTGTCTTCTTATAGCATCATGTCATAATATTTAATAACATGAAAGACGGTATTCTTTCACTTTTTTCTTGGAATTTCTTATCTTAAGGTTGAATTCTGACCAAAAGTATTCAATAAGTCTATCCTGAGACCACACATTTTAGTGTGATATGAATATTGCAGTTACGTGTCTTTCAATACTCTTTAGTGGTGATTTTGTTGAGAAAATATTGAAACATTAATTTTCGATGATCCTAGAAACAATATGTTAGAACAGAAGAAAAGATAAAACGTACAGTATCATTTGTCACCAGCTAATCTTTTGAACGGGTTAAAAATAATAAAAGTATCGCGACTACAAAAAGGGACGAATATCGTTTATCTGTCTGTATAAGGCATCTTCGTGTATGTGCATAATGAAAACATGAGCTTAAATCACAATCGTTGCACGGCACCAATTGCGAGCTCTGCTAGAGGGCGTCATCATAAAAATATATCACGCAAACAAAATATTGTTATAGCCGGCCACCGAAGAGACGTTTGACCGATTGACATAATGTGATGCGTCTGGCATCTGTACACTGCACCGCTTTCGCTGATGAAAGTCAAAACATTATAATATAGAAATGTTTATTCACTAAAGTAACAATAAATAAACACGTTGAAGCTTGAAATATGTTACAGAATCAACTACCTACTTACTTACGACTGTTTCTAAGCTTCATTCCCCTTTCACATCATCTTTTTTGTTAACGACAGCTTACATGAGGTAATAGAAATACTAAAAATTTGCATAATGGCCAGAAGGACATCGCCAGCTGCCACAAGAATAAAAGATAACGCCCTCGCAACGGTCACCATCCATCATAATTGGAACAAAGAGATGAGACTTTTAAGCAATTCATTGCTTCATCCTGACATACTTTTGGCATTATGAATTAATATTATTACCTTGCTTTATGAAATCTCAGGCAACCACAATTACATCACATTTGAAATAGGCACCCAAATTTTTATCCACAATTACAACTACCGAATCGTCGTAACAAAAGGTAAAAAACTTGTGAGCTTGCGCAGTTGTATCAAATTACATCTACCGATTGCCATTAACGTAATATCCCTTTATAATTCAACCAGAACAAAACTATCAAAATTTATGAGCTAGACCCGTTGAATATGAAACGGAATCAAAGTGCCAGCCGAATAAAGAAGTGATTTTAAAGAAAAAAAAAAGATAAGGATAAAAAAAGATACAGAAAGAACGGTAAGCACCCGCTGTTTTATCATACACAGGATTAGAGCATTCAAAGTCGGGACCATTCCTTTTATACGGTACAAATATTTTGACACGACCGACAAGGTAAATAGTGGATGGATGTACCATAAATCTTTTATATAAAGGATTAAAAGTCTCCACTTCTCTGAAATCTCAAAGCTACGTGAAACAAATAAAGGAACTTCTTACTTAAGTAAGACATACTTCACAAATATTTAATATTATTTTAAATGAATTTAAATACAATTCGACTTAAATGTGAGCAGAGGTCCGTTAGTATCAAATAACAAAGTTCCAAAATCTTTATTGTATAGGTTCCTTAAACCCCTTATTAATAAACGCAGAACAAGCTTGGATTAGTTACTCCATGTTTTGTTTCTATTTATAGAATGACAAATGTCATTTGAGCGATATGAACAAGACACGGCGTAACTAGTCTAAGCTTATTTCTTGTTTATTAATAAGAAGATATGTATATGGCGGATACCGAATTACTACTTAATAAAATGCAGTTGGTAAATTCGTCTTTTTAATACATATAGCTATATAGCACATAACATGGTTTTTCGTATTTGCTATTTGTAAAATTGACGGCAAAACAGTAGTTAGTAGCTGGAGAGACTTGTCCTTTTCATTCCTATCCTATAAAGAACATGATAAGGATATATTGCTGGTCTGTTACCATATTTACAAATAGCAAATAAGTATTAAACATGTGAAGTGCTAGCATAAGAGGTAATACATAATAAACCTGTTGATAGGGTCCGGCCGTTGCGCACCCATTCCGCGACGCCCCTGGCCGGGACGCACCCACAATGTAGTCTTTCACTGTGTGTGCGGGGGCATCGCGGAATGGGTGCATAACGGCCGGACCCTGCTGATACGGGAATCGAGTAAAAAAACATTCGAGTCGATTCGAATTAATATGATGATTCCAATCAATCACAATAACGTAAGTAAAGTAGATTATCTAACAAAAAAATATGTGATTATGAAAAGAACTTTCAATGATAATATCCATATTGTACAAGCCCAGGGGCCCCCACAACAGAGATAAAAATCGTAGGTGGCCCAGGGTTCCCGATTTGAAAATACCCAGGGCAAGGACCTCACACCTTCGTTGCCCTAGGGCCTCCACAACTCTAAATCCGGCCCTGTATACACCTACCCGGATACTGATTACCACATCTACCACAAAATATCGGTTTTTAGTTCTGTACAAGGCTCAAATGCGCTAGATAGGATCAGCATGAAACATCCCAATCCCAATACAGACCTATAGAATACTTTCTAACATTTCTACATGGTACTTGTTTATAGGAAAGCAACTTAAACAATTATTGAGGTACTTATTACGTAGTGAAGTCGAGCATCTCAAACGTAGGAGCGTGCAACTAAACAAACTTCTGATATCTAAAGCGATGTAAGCGCTATGCAGAACAAATTAACACAGAAATCGTCGAGCTGTGTTTACCGTCTAACTGTGGAGTGTGGACGGTCAAGTAACGCCCAGGCAGCCGAACAGTTATACAAACAGGCATTGTGCGTCGCACATGTGGACCAATAATGCATCTCATTGTCGGTCAGGCTTTATATTAGCAAAAGCTGCATAAGCAAGTGCAGGTGACTAAAAAATACACCTACATTACTTTTCTTTAACATGGTAGGATGTTCGTATTTCTGTCTGGTACCAGCACCACGCGACCAAAATGGGGCACGACACCAAAGATTTGGCACCTAATAAAGTCATCAAAGAAATGTGCATCTCCAGCCTTCCTCACCTTACTTGAGTTTAAGACAGATAGAATAAACCATTTCTTAGTATCATGTTGTACAAAACATATATTAAGCAAATCAAGTTAGATATAGGTATCGCAAATCAAGTTAGATATATCGTCTACGCCTTATTAGTGTTACTGATCCCCTTCGGCCGTCTACGAAACCATAGTTTCGTAACTGGTTTCGATGAAGGAATTATTCTTCTTTGTACGAAACCTCGGTTACGTGCAGCTTACTCTCTGCGGCAACATGACTTTTCAACGGTCCGCGCGTGACTGTGAACCAAGAAGTGCTTGAGTGGCGTTCAAGAACTTCTTGATTGGGACACATTTTTAGCGCACGTGGTGTATCTAGTTAGGGTATTTAATATCGTTAGCGATCAATACTATTTCCTGTCCTCAACGAAAAGGTATTTAATATGGTTGCTTGTCCCCTAAAAATTATCAATAATTAAATAAAACAATCTTTCCAACGCCGCCGGGGTTTAAAATGTTTTGAGTGGTGTGTAAGTATGAGTGAAAACTGAAGAAACAAATATGATCATGCATGAGTACTGCGATATGATATCTAAGTATCATGAGTTTTTATCACGATCAAATTGTAAAATTACTATGGAGTTTGACAGTTAGACGCAATAAAAACGTAATATTAACGTCTATATTGTTCTGTTTATGCTACTGGGGCAGAATCACTTGCCATAGATCTATTAAGTCAATATCTTCTGTATTCAAATTGGGCCAATGAAATTAATGCCAAAATGTGCGGGAATAGAATGCAAAAACTAACTAAAATATTCAAGTAAACTCACTATAGAAAAAACTCCACTGCAACTGAACACATTTTTAAAAGCAATACCCTAAGCGCCAAATAAGTCTAGAGAGCAATTTATGCACTAGCGCCATCTATCCGGAGCAATTATAACAGTATACTAATATTCTGCTTTTGATCTACCTACTACATAGATGGCTCTTGATCACATATACCTAATTAAATAACAAATTGTAATAATATGTATTTTATGAATAAGATTGGTTATTTTTAAAAACAAAATGAGAATATTGGTACCTTTGACAATAACAGACTAAGGCTGGTCATTAACATGTCACAACAAAAGCTACTGACTAAATAAAGACTCAATGGGTTTACCTTTTTCAATGGCACTTTGAAGCAAACGAATCTTGTTCCTGCAATAACCTTGCCACACGCCATGTAGGCTGTCCATCTGAAAAGCCAATACAAACTCTTTTACTACATCTTTACTCACGACAAAATCCGAAAACAAACAAAGTTCAACCAACCTATCAGGAATACTCGGCGCCATCCTTTATAACGTGCTCAATTATTTTATTAAGAATAATGATAATGTTTACTCATTGCTATAATGAGAAAGTAAGATATTTGGTAGTAATTTTGAATGTAATGCAGTTAAAAATTATAACCTAAGAGTAACTAGTATACATACAATTTGTCCACATCAAACGTCAACAGTATTTTTTACAGATTCTCCCTTTTTAGGGAAGGCAAGGAGAACAATGCCCATACAGCCTAGTTTTTAGCTATATACATATTTTTTTCTTACGGAAGTCGGTGTGAGATATTGATGTCGATTCTGGCATGATTCTCTAAAGCTAAACTTAAATTTGACAACAGTGCATCCTTGTCCTTCTCTATACAGAAGGAAAGGGTGAGACTGACCTTAAATTTAGTTTTAAGTTTAGAAAATCACGCCAGAATTGACACCATTCTAATGTTTCTTGAGTGTTTGGCACTAAATGCATTGAGTTGGCTTTTTCGATAAGCTTCTGTGAGGTAGCCAAAACTGCAATAAAGATCTCACGTCCACTTGACCGGAATAGCGTATATTTTAAAGATTCCACTAATTCTTCACTTGCGCAGACGGTTGTAACTCAAAATCACACCAATTTTATTTCACAATAGCCCCAACGCCAACAGTGTTACCACTACCAGTTCCGATTATGAACAATCGGGAGTCGTTATAGAAAAAAGCGTAAGCGTAAAGGATATATGGAAAGAGCTACCAGAAAAAACAGTAGATGCAGAGGCGACCTTTTTGCGATTTGCAATGTTTCTCTAAATCTAAACTTAAATTTGACATCAGTGTATCCTTGTCATACGCTGTATAGAAAGAAAAGGAGATACTGGTGTCGATTCTGGCGTGATTCTCTAAACTTAAAACTGAATTTAACATCAGTCTCTCCTTTTCATTATGTATAGAGAATGACAAGGATACACTGTTGTCAAATTTAAGTTTAGATTTAGAGAATCGTGCTAGAATCAACACCACTGATGTTGTTAGTTTTAAGTTTAGGGAATCATGCCAGAATCGATACCACTGTTCAATTCAACCATAGACTACGACAACATCTTGTTTATATATGTCAAAATAACCACAAAAATAACCTATAATACTACTCGAATCGCATTTTTAGTTTGTTTTTTTCTAATATATGAATAAAATTAGTGCTTTTAAAGATTGTAGTATATAGTTAAAAATGTGAGCCATTTAGTGAATCATTACGTGGGAATTGAGAGGCAAAGTTTTTGTATGCGTTTGTTCTTACGTTTATTTAAAAAAATAAAAACTTGTCACCATAACAACAGAATGAAAAGAAGATCGAATTTAATCGAAGTTTGTAACGAAAGTGGCGATACAATAAGCGGCTTTGAAAAGAAATTGAGGGCAAATTTTGCTAAAAGTTACATCCAGAGCTCTATTATGTATAAAAATACTGAGTGGTACAAATCTTTAATGGAAGCTGAAAAATCATGTTTGAAAGAAGATAAAATTAAAAAGATACATTATAAGTTTGATGATGATAGAGAAATGGTAGAGGAGTATAATGTAGATACCCAAGTTCTGTTACGAAGGGCTTGGAAGGTCAAAGGAAAATTAGGTGGTGAGGGTCAATGGTCAGTAGAAATTGGTGACCCAATCCCTGATGTTAATCCAAGCATTGAAAATGCTGAAATCAAAGAGAGCAAAGATCAGGTAAATTTTAATTTAGGGACTAGAGTCCAACCTTTTTTGCTACACTGAATATTCATAAAGAAAGATCTTGGTATTAAGGTTCATTAAATGGAATTTTTAATTAACAAGTTTATTGCAAACTATCACTGAAGTTAGGTTTGAAGGTTTTTTTGGTTAATAAATTAGGTTTTTTTTTCGAACTTGTGTCCTTTTCCAACAGTATGGATATAGGAGACAGAGCCTTGGCTTGAGCGTACAGTCAGCAATTGTTGCTGCATCCACACCTGCACTCCCACCACACTCACAGTTGCTTTTTTATTGTAGCCTATTGTTATGCGAAGAAACACACGTATCAATTTAGAATGGAGAATCAGGAATTTACCATATCCTATAGAAACTTATTCTATTAGTGCCAGTAATGAAGATAAAAGTATTACCATAAGAACTACAAACAGAAAGTACTTCAAAAAACTACAAGTTCCTGAACTTGAAAGACTTAAAATACCATTAGAGCAAGCAAATATATCTTCTACACATCAGTATCAGACACTTATAATAATGGTAATTATTTATATTAAAATAAATCTTTTTTTTTTTGTAAATATATTGGTACTGTAAGCTATTCAACTAACATTACCCTTTAGTTGATAATAGTAATTGTAGTAATATATTTTTTTTTACAGTATAAGAAACCATCACAACTTTTGGAAATGGAAAAAGAATGGTATGAGGAACTAAAAAAAGTAAAACCCATCAAAGATATACCTAGTGATTGTAAGACACAATAAGTAGGTAGTTGATTACCTATAAAACTACTTAGTTATTTAACTATAAAAACTAAGTCAATATTGTAATATGATTGTTTTTATTCTAGCTCTAGCTCCTTATCTATCTTTATATAAAAAAGGCAACAGTTACAGACTGAATGATTAGAATTCACAACTTGAACCACTAGTACTAGTAAGGCAGGTCAGTCTGTCAAGTTTACTAGCTTCTGCTGGTAATGTTATAACCAACTTCAAAAAAACTGAAAATAATATTTAACATGTTAAAAACGTCACATGAGTTTTGTTTGTTTGAAGAGAGAGATAGATGGCCTCTGTAAAGGTTGTTTCACTGTTTTTGGCTTATGCCAATAAGCTTTGATTAAAACAAAAAGGGTAGATACGGCACTCTCGGCTCATAAGTGATTCGCTTAAATTGTGGTGCATGATCACAATTCACTGTAGTCACAATTGGACATTCAAACACGCTATATGAACACGCAATATAACGATATTGCGTATATTCTGCGTTATAAAGATAAAGCAATGCCTTCAATGCTTTTATAAAGAAAACAAATAGTTCAAAATCAAATAAAAAAATGCCTTGGCAACACTACTCATTCGTAAAACTGTCAAATCATATTTTTCTCAAAAATTACGGTTTGTCGTGAATGTTATTTACGTAATCGCCATTTTGTTATTAAGAAAAGTCAACAATACAGCTCAGCCGTTGGCACTCGGAAGCTGATTCGCCGTTTCGCTCTCTCTGCGTTGAAGCGAACAGTTCACTCGATTGAATGTTATTTACAGATGTAGGCGTGTGTGAGAGTTGCATATGCAGTTGAGTCGGATTAAGGCTGCCATCCGTCCGGGTTTCCCCGGATTTGTCCTAGTTTACGGGGCGTCCGGGGAGCGTCCGGGCGGGGTTTTATTTGTAGTCCGGGTTTAAAATTTTACGGCAACGCATGAGTGGCCCTTGGTGCTGCAAGTGTTCATGGGCAGCAGTGACCACTTATTATGAGGTAGACCGCTAGCTCTTTTGCCTCGATCAACATAAAAAACTTGATTTGTGACATTTTTAACTGTTTTTTTTATTGGTCTGTCCGGGTTCTGGGCTTCAAAATCCGGGGTTATCACGCATCTTATCCTGGTTGCCACATTTTAGAGATGGCAGCCCTAAGTCGGATCATATTTTATTTGATGTAAGTATGAGCGTACCCACAGAACACAGAAAGAGGTTTCTGTGTTCTGTGAGCGGAGCATATCTTCCCTTTTTGTTTTAATCTAAGGACATAAGGCACATATTTTTATTCAGGAGGTACAATGGTGTCGATTCTGGCATGATTCTCTAAAGCTAAACTTAAATTTGACAACAGTAGTGTCGATTCTAGCATGATTCTCTAAACCTAAACTTAAATTTGACAGCAGTATATCCTTGTCATTCTCTATACAGAATGAAAAGGAGAGACTGATGTTAAATTTAGTTTTAAGTTTAGAGAATCACACCAGAATTGGTACCAGTGTATCCTTGTCAATGGTGCCAATTCTGGCGTGATTCTCTAAACTTAAATCTAAATTTAACATCAGTCTCTCCTTTTCATGCTGTATAGAGAATAACAAGGATACACTGTTGTCAAATTTAAGTTTAGGTTTAGAGAATCATGTCAGAATTGATACCAATCTCTATACAAAATAAAAGGACAGACTGATATTAAATTTAGTTTTAAGTTTGGTGTATCATGTTTGGCCTCAATTGTAGAACTTGACGTACTACTTCCTCATATGTTTAAAATTTTCATTTCATAAAAATTGCACAACGACCACCACCGTGTTTTTCGACTGCAAGAAGCACGGGGCCAAATTTGATCCAATGTAACTAACTACTCCTCCTTTTGTTTGATAGTAATTTTCAGTCATAGTTGTTATTTTTAGTATTTTCATTAACCGTTGTGCTGGGTCAATATAGAACCTTCTTCATCACAATCAGTGTTGCCATCAAGTTTGAGAGAGTTGCCGTATTTTTAAATAAAAATCATGATTTTGCCGTATTACCTAATTTTCTTTATTAAAATTTATAGGTAGTAATATTATACGGCAATGACAAACCTTCCGTATGCCGTTCTCATATTATGAGCTCAAATTGCCGTATCAATGACAACGCTGATCACAAGCCGTTCATAGCATAGGGTGCGGCCAGAGTGCACTCAGATTCAGACTCAGATTCAGATTTCGAAAACAAGCGCGAGAAATAAACAGTGTAGTCTAAGCAGGTTGCTTGCTTTTTCTCGCGCTTTGTTTTCTGAGTCTGAATCTGAATCTGAATCAGGAGTGCAATCTGGCCGTACCCTTCGACTACACTGTTTATTTCTCGCGCTTGTTTTCAGAATCTGAATCTGACTCTGAATCTGAGTGCACTCTGGCCGCACCCATAGGCTGGGTCGATCTCAGCGACGAGACGAGAAGACCACTTCTCTCACTCCCTGATGAATTATTGCCATTGCTTTCAACAACAAATACAACAGTGTGGCTACTTTTTTACGCAAAAAATTTCCTAAAAGTGGGGAAAGTTGATTTTCTTTAGTGACCGACCGAAACATGTTATTTTGCCGAAACCGAAACCGAAACCGAAGGTTCGGTTTCATTGTAGTTTCGGCCGAAACCGAAACCGAACCTTTTATAAAAAAAAAAGTCGAAAAAATGTTAGTAAGCCCGTTTTTTTTCTAAAATTAATGTCTCGCCGAGCTATAATTACAGGTTTCTACTTTCAAAGATTTATCACAATGAAATTTCAGCACAGTTACAAAGGTTCTGTTTGAAAATTTAACTACCCTATAAAGTGAAAAAAATACATTACTTGTAACACAAAGTTAGCGATTTTTTGATGGTGGTATAAAATAAAACAAAGGAGATTGCTCAGCTTCCATACATGTTTGGCCTAAAGACCAATAATCATAAAAAAATGTTTCCTAGATTCGAAATTATATATAAATTACTGTAGCAACGAATATTATTGACGGCCACCCCCGAGAACTTCTACAAACCATATACACTAAATGATTTTGAGGATTTTGATTAAAATAATAAAAAACAAATAAGTTATATAGTAAGCTAGGGAAATCAAGCCAAGTACAGAAATTATGTATTAGATTCAGGTACATAAAGCATGTAGATTAAAAGATAGTTGCCTGTTTTTAGTTAATGCACAAGAGTTACTTTTAAAATCAGGTATCATCTATGCATATCCGGTTATAATAACTCTGTGACAGAAACTGTGTGATGATTGTGAATGAGCCACAGATTAGAGAGAATTTTTAAACTCTCGTTAACCAAAGAAAGCTAAGAGATTTAGGTTACAGCTACATCTTCAGTTGCGTCATTATTTTTGTTATGTTTATATTATAACCATATTTTAGATTTTTGGTGTATCACACCTTATAATGTGTTTATGGAGGTGTTTGGCAAAAATGTATGGCAATAGACTTTATGATGTCGCTTACCATCTATAATAATTGTCTTAGCACATTTTCATGTAGAGAAAATGATAATATAATTGTGGATATTAATACCACAGTGTAATAAAAAAAAAATTATTTTATCCATCTTTACAAAATATATTTGTTTTGATGTTATATAAACAACTTCGATCTGTCTTTGGCTGAATGTTACTACACCCATAGCCATTAAAAATTATTCGTATGTTTTCCAAACCGGTAAAATTAAAAGTCCTTTTTAAAATGAATATATTATACAAAAGTGTCCGTTAAAATCTAATGACTTTAAAACAATATTGTTTGTACATTTGGGCTAATTTGAACAATCTCCTTAAAATATGATGCTCATATATGTTTATTTATTTTCAGTTACTTACATTTTAATTATACTCACAAATATCACAATCAGTTAGCCTCGAATGGCTAATTCAAGTATAGGTATTTAGATAATCAAAATAATCAAATTGATCACCTTTGGTAATCATTTTAGCCTTTAACCTTTTATAGTAACAAATCTATACTTATACTTTTTATTTTTTATAACAAATTATCTAATTAAAAATAATATAACGTCTACACGAGCAAAGCGCACTGATTTAGGTAGTTGCCGGCGGAGTCAGGCGATCGACGTCATATTGCCAGCCGTGCCGAGCGCGCCCGACGTTAGCCGAGCGCGACCCGAAGGTACGATGTTGTAAGTTTCGGCGTGGCCGAAAGGTTCGGCCGTTTTTGGCCGAAACCGAAACTCGGGCCGAAACTTGATTTTTTGGCCGAAACTGGCCGAAACCGAAACCGAAATTTCGGTCGGACACTAATTTTCTTGCATTTGTGACAAACAAGATTTCGTAACTTTTAATGATTCCGTAAGGATACGCAAAAATGATTCTTTTCCGTTTTAGGTAATCTTGCCTCCTCTCTAATAGGTTTCCTAGAAATAAAAGCTGTAGAGAAGAATGAGTTTCAGTTATTCGAAACTGCAGAGGAGAAAGGAATTGGAACCCATCATCTGCCAGTACTGTGTACAGACTACAGTGCACATTTTTGATGACGTATATTTTATACTGAACTACAGCTAAGGGGCTTCTTTGTTTCGTTCCGTACGCAACCTGCGCGATTATAAATCTGTAAAATATTTTGGCAGGGCTCAAATCTCAAATCATTTTTATTGTAATTTGTGTTGGTAATTATTTAAAAAAAAAACAAAAAAAAATCTGTGACTTTTCTTTCATATAAAATACTATGTTATTTAGGAAAAAAACAATCCTCATGACTAACCCTTTGGACGGTTATCATATAATACATGTGTTTTTTTTTTGTTTCACATTTCAAGAGTTTAATTCCCGGTTTTCGCAGGCGATTTTTTGAAAACTGAGAATGCAGTTGTACTTAATATTAAAAATAAAATGAAGTCTTCTCTCAGTAAAATCTCTCTCTTCAATATTTAATATACTTTCCCTCGGGCATTGGTGTATCTAGGGTATATAATATCGTTGGACACGCCCCACCAAATCATCACTCACGCAGGATGATGACCACGTTGTACCTTTCCTACCACTCGAGCAGCTTCTTTAGAACTGTAAGCGTACACTTTATCATTTTGCTTATTGAAGTGTCCTTCAATCGTGTTTTTTTTTTATCGGTAAACAGGATATTTCTCTTCTATTTCACTATTCTTCTATTTTATGGATATTTCACCTGTGTATCGCGACAGAAGGCGTTTTGATCGATCCACTCTCTTTAATTAAAAAGATTGATTTAGGGCATGTCCTGTACCTAGTCAGGTCATAAATTCTGTCACATGTTTAATATAAAATAATTGAAACAAGTTTATTCATTATGTAACTGCAGATTTTATTTTATGGAATGAAAACATACAAAAAACAAAAACCAACAAAAGAAAAAGATGAAAGGAAAATGAAAGTGACAACATGGATTACCGGCCTCCCGTCCCCAGGAACTCCCAGTCGATCCCCGCCACGCCCTCCAAGGCCGGGGGGGGGGGGGGCTCCGGGGGGCACGTGGGGAGCCTACTCATCACTAGAATGTAATAGCCCCGGGGGTAGGGGCCCGCCGCCTCATACCCCCTGTAGGGAGCATGTCTGCTTTGATAGTGCCTCTTGACGTGGCTATTTATAATTATCCCACAGAGGATGCACTGCATCACTCTGCGGGTTCCACGATCAGGCACGTAGGCTCAGTAGGGCGGCGGCTGGGGCAGCGCAGGAGCAGCGGGGGCGACCGCACGGGGAGGCCCAAGCGGGGAGCGGGACCTCGATCGCCCGCGCGACGAGGACGGCGAGGAGGCCGAGGACCCCGATGTGCCCGTCGCCGACGATGATGACGACGCCGAGGACGAAGAAGATGAGGTTCCCGATGAAGTGCCCGGGGCCGGAGGCAAAAGTAGAGGGGTTCTTCCGGTCCCGGCATCAGGGGAGTAGGAGGTGGCTCGGCGTCGCCGCACGGGCTCCTCCAGCTCGGCGGGCAAAATGGCTCTTCTTACGCGGTGTAGTGACCCTGCCGGTGCCGTTGCAGGTGGACGGGGCAGCGGGGGTCCAGCGGCCGGCGAAAAGTCCCCCCCGGGGGGGGGGGGGATTCCGAATAGGGCGGGCAGGAAGGAATCTCCCAGAAGGTCCGACCCCCCCCCCCCCCCCACCTGTGGCAGGCGGCCGCCGCGGAGGGGGGGCGCCTCGGCGGCGGCGAACGTCCGGAGAGGCGGGACAGGCCTCTGGTCCCCCACGACAGGAGCCCCAGGAAGGGCTTGTTGGTGTGTTAGACTTGCTCTGTAAACCAGCATGTGTGAAACTGATTAAATAAATAAATAAAAAAACAAGCCTACACAGTGCCTACTTATGGGCTAGAATAATTGGAGTTATTAAGAAATGAAACTAAAAAAGTGTCTAATTTAAAAACATTTATTCACTATCATCCACAACTAAAGCTTTTGCTTGTCTCTTTAACTCGTCTTCGTCCTCTTCTTTGTCTATTAATCCTCTTGATTTTAAATACTCAGCATATTGTTTTGGAATGCCCATAAAAGTTTTTACTTTTGCTCTTAATTGTTTCCATGTTTCTTGATAGTAATTCTTTTTATCTCTAGACATAGCTTTATAGTCATGTCTATATTTATCCAATAGATAAGTAATAAATTCTACTTGACCTTTTGGTAACCTGAATAAGATAAAAGAGATTAGTAATGACCCAAATTTCCTTCATAAATTGCCTAAAATCTATCTATGGTTTCAATAGGTTGATGAAAGAAAATTTTCCCAAAAAATATCCCATACAGTCCAGGGGGCCATTCGCCTAACGGAAATGCTTTGGAAAACGCAATGCTTACGATTTCATTTTGTTATTTCTAGCCGCCTGAGGTTTTCAAATGCCTCGCGCTCTTTTTTCTCTTTTGCATTGGTAATAACAATATTAAAGAAAATGAGCGTGAGATATTTGAAAACCTTCGGCGGTCAGAAATAACAAACAAGCATTTCCGTTAGGCGAAGGGCCCCCAGATGTCCAGTCTGTTGTCTGGTCTGCATGTAAATTTTTCTTTAGATATATATTATTACGTTTGGATTAGTTATCATCATTTATTAACAAGACAAGAATCATTTATTAAGAAGTCTGGTGAGTGAGGGAAAGGTGTTAGCCTGAGATTACTGAGTAAAAATCACCCATTTTTACTCAGTAATCTCAGGCTCAAGGGACAGCTAGGAGGATAAATCCACTTGATTGAATTAAACCTATAATAAATTAAAATGTTTTCTATTACCCATGCTACTACTATTGGCGGTAGCCAGTACACCTAAGCTAAAGAATATAGGCAAACAAAAAAATTATACATATAATTATGATATACTAGCTGTGCCCCGCAGTGTTACCTGCGGTTTATTAAGGATATTTTCCCGAAGTAAAACAGCCTATGTGTTAATCCAGAGTGTCAGCTAACTGCATACCAAATTTTATTAAAATCGCTCCAGCCGTTTAGACATGAAGAAGTAACAAACATACACACTCACAAACTTTTAAATCACTATTTTAGGCTGCCACAAAATTACTGCTGAAGTAATATATCGTCGGTCCGAGATCTTACTGGAACATCTCCATAAATCAAGATTTTGACTTAAGTATGAAGTACGATCACCCGTCAAAAGTATTTTTCAAGTCACTATCGGAATAACTCAAATTTGCTCCCTATATAAAACTAAACGACATAAACTGCTACAGCACTGATCAAATATTTTAATTCAGTATCGGATTATTTACAAATATTCCAGTGTAACTTTTATATGAAAAAATCCACCAAGTACATTTCGAATTGTTCCAGTAATGCACCAAAACAAATGAGTTGAATTTATTGTTATTCCGTTTGTTTCGATCAGTCGTGTAGTTGTCGCCCCGCCAGAAACACGTTATTTCATTACGCGAGCGTTCCTTGTGGAAATAATATAAAAATGAGTGGTCGCAATGTTCGTGGCAAACGAATAGGGAAGATAAGCAACGATTATAGAAGCAATATGTCGGAAGTTCGTAAAAATACAAGTAAGTATTTATAAGGTTATTATATATTACATTATAAGGTTATTATATATTATATTATATATTACTTGCTTACATCTTTTATAATAAGATCTATCGAAACTTATGGCTACCCAAAAATAATATTTTGATATTAATTTAATAAGACCATGTATGTATATTTCAAGGTTCAAAGGTTGTATTCCTGACACCTACTCAAGGGGTTCTTGTTACTTTTTAGGTTCCATTATACAGACCGAACGACGGCAATACTATGCTCAGTACACAAAGGCATTAGCTACACCTTCAGTTGATTATCCGGATTTCAGTACTGATGGCTCACCGTCAACAATACCAGAGGAATTTGATATGCATTTTTTTAAGGAATCACTAGGTACTTACTCGTACATACATGATGCAGAGCTAACAACCTCTAAGTATAATCTATTATTAATTTATCATTTCTGTGTCGTTTTTGTAGGTAATCAGTTTACTTTGTCTCTTAATATAAATGATACATTATTACACCAACGCTGATTGGGGAATTTTGTTCTATAAATTGATTCCGTATAACCAAATAATAATTCATTATAACTACACAATGTAATGTGAAATCAGTAGGTAGCATACCTACCTACTGATTTTACGTTACATTGTGTAGTACACACGTAACATGTGGGACCAATATGTTTTTAATTATTATTTCTTTACCTGGTAATGACCTCGAAAGGACTCTGGAAACTGTTGTCAGTAGTTAACCTGTAAAGGCTTTGCTTACGATAGATAATAAAATTTATTACTTACCTTAACAGATGGCGAACTCGAAAACAATCAAGAGGAGGAACCAGTCACTAACGGTGCTAAAAAAAATAATGAGGTGCTTGAATCGGAAAATACTTATCTCGGTAATATATTTTTTAAATTAACTTTACTTATTTTTACAATTTATAATATTATTATATCTCTTATATATTTAACCAGGTGAGGAGATTAATCAAAAACTGAAGGCTGTACAATTTGACAATTTTGTTGTAAATAATGTAAGAGTGGACAGAGAAATGAATAATCCTGTTTCAGGTTCAGGTACTTTCGTTAACTTTCTTTTATATACACAATCAGTTAGGCTTTGCTGTTGATTATTAAAAACTATTGTACTTACTTTACCAGATGGCGAACTCGAACAGAATATGGAGACTACAAAAGTAACTGACTCCGCTGATAATTATTCTGAAATTAAAAATACTATTCCAGGTAATAAATCTTTAATTTTGGCCTGATTTTGCTGTAAGCAATAAAGCTATTTGTATATAAAACCTAATTATAAACTTCGCAAAAATATATCTATGCTTTACCAGGCGAGGAGCTTGAACAAAATATAGACACAGTAGAAGATTCCGTACAAAATGAAAACGACATAAATTTTATTAACATTGAAGAATGTGTGACCAACAATCCTATTGACAGTGAAGTTGACATTAAAAAAAAGACAAGAAAACGACTTAGACAGCCTCAAACCTGGAAAAATAATAAGAAAAAATGTTTAAAAATTTGGGAAAGTCTTATGTTACCTATAAAGGGAAAGTTATTCAAGCAAAAAAACTGAAAGCACCCTGCGGAGAAACTTGTCGTCTTAAGTGTTCAGAAAAAATCGATAAAGAGCAAAGACTTTCTATTTTTAATAATTTTTGGGAGCTAGGAGAATTATCTCGACAGCGTGATTTTGTTAGCAAGTGTATAAAAGAAGTGAAACAAAAGTACTCACTACACAGTGAGAATAGCAAACGATCGCTTAATTTGGCATATCACTTCATCGTGGATTCTGAAACAACCAGAGTTTGCAAACGATTTTTCCAAGCGACTTTAGATATTGGACATTCTTTTATTACTACAATAAAAAAGAAAAGCACGTCCACTGGTACTGTTTTAGAAGATATGCGAGGAAAATGTAGTAAAGGAAACAGTTTACCAGATACAATTAAGAATGGAGTACGTGAACATATCAATACATATCCCAGAAAGGAGTCCCACTACTGTCGATCAAGTACAAGAAGGGAATATTTAGATGGTGATTTAAATTTGTCGTTAATGTATCGACAGTATAAAGAATGGTGTGTTGCGAATGAAAAACCTTTAGCAAAGAAGGGAACGTATGAACATATTTTCATAACAGAATTTAATATATCATTTTATAGACCCAAAAAAGATCAGCGTTCTTTATGTTGCTCTTATAATAACATGACATCTGAAGATAAATTAGAGCTGGAGTCTGCCTATCAAACTCATCTTCAAGCAAAGGAAATGTGTAGGGGTGAAAAAAAGGTGGATATAGAGTTATGTCAAATGGACGAAAGCAAAGTCATTTGTTGCTTTGACATGCAGGCAGTTTTGCAAACCCCAGCAGGCAACGATTCTCTTTTCTTTTATAAACGGCGACTCAATGTATACAATTGCACTGTTTACGACATAACGAAAAAGACAGCACACTGCTATTTGTGGGACGAAACGTTGGGTGGAAAAGGTTGTGACGAAGTTGGAACTTGGAAAACATGTACTATTTTACACAGATAATTGTTCTGCGCAGAACAAAAACAAATATTTATTGGCTCTATACCATTATGCAATGAAAGTATTTCAAATACAGTCTATTACTCACAAATATTTTATAGTAGGTCATACACAGAACGAGGGAGATAGTGTCCACTCAACGATTGAGCAAGAGAAATCACGAATTTTAAGAAATGGTTCCGTTTTTGTACCGTCTCTGTGGCATTCAATAATACAATGCGCAAAAAAAAAGGGAAATCCTTATCAAGTGCATGACATTGACTTTACTGACATTGTTGATTTGAAAGAACTATTAAAACAATTTGGGAAAAATTTTACTTTAAATACTGATGGTGACCGGGTTGTATGGAATAATATAAAAAAAAATTACATGCAACATACCAATCCATACGTTGTATTCTATTTGGATACCTATCTTCCGAATAGTACTATGAAATCTTTTGATGTTCGTCATAAGATGAGATCACCTGCTATTCTTGAAATGACTTTAACCAACAAATTCAGGACGCGACCACCAATTTCTGATTTAAAAAAGAAGGATCTTATTTCACTTTGCCAATCAAAAGTCATACCTAGGGTATATTGGGATTATTATGAAAACCTGCCGGCTTCGTCAGAGCTTAACGTCGAAGTTGATAATGGTGAAGAGGAATAAAAAAATACTACTTTTTATTATTATTTTAATAAATAATAATAAATTATTATTTTTTTATTACTCTTCATCGTCTTTTTACCTTATTTAAATAAATATTATTAATGTTCATTTAAGAAATAAAAGATTATAATAAAATGTTTTTTTTCTTTTCACAATATATTCTTTTTCCTTAGTGTAAGTACTATACACACAAATTAAGAAACATTTAATACAGTACATCTCTATTACCTTATAGATATTACTAAGTAATTCGGTGGAACATTTCTAAATATACTAATATCATTGGTTTGGATAGTTTTATTTCTTTAGTTCAACATTGGAACATTCTTAAATATTCCAGTACAGTGTCAGGACGGAACAAATGTTATCAGTCTTTACTGGAATATTTCGCAACATGGCTTATAACTGGTTAACTTGACGTCCGAAGTTAATGTGCTATAAGTTATTATAAAGACATACAGTTCCACTAATACCACATAAAAAAATATGAGTACAGCGTTTTCGGTAATTGTTAGAATTCAAATTATATTACATATGATATTTATTTTGCTGATTATCTCAAAAACGCTCATTTAGAAATGTTCCAGTAATATTTCGGACCGACGATATCACGTGTATTTCCGTGGTCTGAGGATACTGTACATTAAATAATGTTCATGTATAAGTTTTTCGCATTTCTTTCTTTATTTTTATGTCAGTCAAAAACAACCTGCAACCTTGATACTTTACTACTTACATACCTGTATTTTATATTATATGGCTATACACATGCTTTATTTCTATGAAAGATAATAGGTACAGTTTTACCCTAGATCACATACTTACATAAATTTTCTTTCTCTTGGAGCATTAGCTTCCTTCTCTAGTTTGTGTACAACATCAAATTTTGGTGGAATTTTAGGCTTCTTTTCAATTTCCTCTTCTGACTCCGATTCCTGTTTGGTAATTTTCTTTGCTTTCTTCAATTGGTCTTGTTTAAAATTGGAGATTTTTAAGACTTTGTTGGGATCATTGGCTAAACCCATTTCTTTTAGGTTTCGCAATGTTGACTTTTTATGATCCCACTCATCCTTCATAACTTTGCTGGAATTTAAGAGAGAAAATTTAAAGATCTCAGATAAATTTCAATAGCAGCAGTTATTTGTAATAACAAATGTTGTAAGAAATATTTCTAACAGGTAGGAACCTAATTTAGCTACGTATCTGGTTACCGTTAACATCAGCATATATCCTATCGTTGTTGGAATGTGATCTAGCCAAAAAGGCAAATCGTAATACTGCCACCTAACCTTAATCTACAGTACCTACCATAGAACAGCCCCGGTGCTACTTTGATTTTTATTCATTCGCCTTCGGTTAAGGTGATGGAGGTACTTTTTCCGCCGTTGTTGCTTTTTAATCTTCATTTTGATCTGTATGCAAAATGAGAACGGGAGAACTCCTTTTCTAAGTGAAAAGCACAGCAGATCTACAACGAAAATACATTACAAAATATATATGTTAGGTGTGAGCGTTCTAAAGACGAACCGGTTTCAAAGACCGTTTTGTGTTCCGCGACGATAGAACCGTTTTAAGTTTCAGATCAAAACAGTCTTCTTCGAACAACTAGTCCTCGGATTGTCTGCACGTCAATATGTACTTTATGATGAAGTGAATACAGTCTATAATAGAACGCAATGATATGAAGCCGTTTCGTTCTATGATGATTAAGCTTTGATTTTACAATAATATAATCTTTGTTATTGAACATTTAAAGTCGATTATCGTATAACACAACATTTATTTCGATGTTTCGTCGTCTCGTTCGCAGCAACGAAACGAACGTTAACAAGATTTCATTTAGTTCAGTTTCGTTGCGTTACATTCGTTCGACCGTCGCGTGTCGTTTCGTTGCGTCACCCGGCCGCAACCAAAACCAGTTGCGAACGTGAACCGTTTCGAGGACTAGTTTTCGTTTAAGAAAAAACGGTTGCGTTTCGTCGTCAGAAAATTTGAGAACGACCCACCGCTAATATATGTCAAACACAAACTTTATGTCAAATCGCACATGTCAATATTTTTTTAATTCTTTTTTTTGGTCAATTTGTCCCTGTTGGGACGGGCAAAGGACTCTGAGTTTTTATTTCTTTTATTAAGATTCTCCCGTTTTAAAGAAAGCAAAAGAAACAATGCCCATACAGCCTTGTCTTTAGTTAAATTAATCTTATTTTTTTCTTTACATTAGAATGGCGGTCGTGACGCATTCTTGGAGTGAATGGCATGAAATGTATCGAGTTGACTTTTTCGATAAGCTTCTGTGAGGTAGTCAACACTACAATAAAGTTCTTACGTCCACTTGACCGGAGTAGCGTTTATTTTAACGATTCCACTAATTCTTCAGTTACGCAGACGGTAACACAAAATCACACCAATTTTATTTCCCAACATCCACTATGAACGAATTTAAGAATAATTGAAATAAGACGCCAACCGCACTTGGTGAGTTGGTGAAATCCCGCCAAAAACTCTGTCAATTTTAATATGGAGGTTATGTAACTTTTTTTCTCCCATTCTGGGAAGGCCGTGTTACTGTGCCCATTCAGAACAATTTAAGAAAAATAATGGTGTAGATTCTGGCATGATTATTCAAAGCTAAAATTAGCTTAATCGACAAGTGTGGAACGGAACCTTGTTAAGGGCTGCGTCCAAAACCTACGCTTAGTGAAACTTCTTAACCTGCCTCCCCCCCCCCCCCCAAGTATGAGCACCGCTATATAGGTCTAGCAACTGGGCAATGCTAGTATCTGCATCGTCCCCTTCTCAGGGGACGATCGCATCCGATGAACAGGCAGTCCCAACGGGTGTTTTTTAGTCAGTAAGAGTCTGACATAACCCTGTAGCCGGCTGTAGGGTATCCATGAGGATTTCTCACCCGCTCCCCCGCCTGGGAGGAAACAAAAAAAAAAAAAGCAATGCTAGTAGTTGGCAACACTGTGTAACTCACCCCTCACAGATTGGTTGTACCAGGGACGTAGAAGATCTGAATTCTGAACGTAGCCTTAGGGATGTCGAAAGTTGAAAAAAATATCGATATATCGATACATCGATATTTTAAAAAATATCAATATCGGCTTCGATATATTGCGAAAAAAACATCGATATATCGATATATCGAACCAATTTTCCCAAAAATATCGCTCACGAAATATGACACGCAGAATAATAATGGAACGAAAATTATCTCCCTAAAAATAGACCCTATTTTCGAATGATGACATAGACAATACTAAATACCGCACAGATCATAGATATGTTGTATATCATTAATCTGAGATCCAGTTACGATTTTTCCAGATACGAATTTAGTTAGATCGTGATATGCCGCTAATAATTAAAAAAATATCGTTTTTGATACGAATTTCGATATTGGTTATTTTGTATCGATGTATCGATATATCGAATCAAAATATATCGGCAAAAAATATCGATATATCGTACAAAAAATATCGATATATCGATACATCGATATATTTTCAACAAGCCTACGTAGCCTACTAGTTACTACACCAAGCACATGTTTTGCACATATTTTGGGATTGGGATTTTGAACTTAAATAATTTATTTGAATTCAAATTGAAATATTTGTAAAGACTTGGTACAGACCGTACTCTCCGGAACCGTAAAAGGTTCATTTGAAATTTAAATATGCCACAAACAGGTGCAACGCGGTATCAAAAATTTCTAAAATCTGAGAAGTCTAAAACAAAATTAAAGAATAAAAAGAAGGATTTACCCAAAGGTACCAATATAACCAAAACCAATTTTAAAGTAAAAAAAATTGTTATTAAAGAACAATTGAAAAAACATGGAAAGAGTGAAATTTTATCTACAAAGAAGCTAAACATCAAAGAGCTCTTGTCACGTTTAAATCATTTTAATACTAATTCAAGGACTGAGGCTCTAGAGGGTCTCAAAGAAATAATTACAAGTCATTCAGATGCATTGTTTCGAAACCTTGGACAAATTATTCTGGGAGTGACTCCATTAGTGCTAAACGTAGAAAAAGTGGTAAGTTATATATATATATATTCATAGAAAATTATCTAAAATTATGTCAGCCTGGAGTTTATTTCCCTACTCTGCAGAAGTCTAGTAACATTAATATGTAATATTATCCAAGTGCCAACAGTGTTTATAACTTTTTGGTTTGAAGTTTACTAACCAAACTTACCATAACTTAACCACCATGGAAAAAATTGTTATCTATTGTTGTGAGAATAAATGGTATAACATTTCTGTTGTGTTAGGTATATAAAATGAGGGTTCTAGTAGAAATCACTCAACACTTGAGATTTCCTTGCTAGATAAATTAATTATCAATTTGCTTATGCTAGACCCTTTTATCTAGATTAGGGATATTCTATAATATTCTTGTAATAAAAATGCATTATTTATAAGGTTTGCAAGTGTGTGTCTTGTTGAACAAGTTGTCTTTACATTAGTTGATGGGTTTAGAAGAGCATAATATATTTGTCTTTGTAACTGTATTAAAGGGAAGAAAGATATAAACTGTATTATTGTAGCGACTCTGCAGCATTGATAAGTCTTAGGACATAGGATGGTTTTAATCCTAAAAATGGCCCAAAGGAGTGGAAGTTTGTATGGCAAATGATTTTTTCTATGTAGATGAAGTCACAGGTACTCCATAGTTCTCTTATATGTAGGTATATTGTTCTTTTGCCATTTTAAATTGAATACATACAATCTTTGGCCTATGTTAACAGTTTTCTTACATTTACACTACCTTGAGTTTAAGAAAACTGTTAACATAGGCCAAAGATTGTATGTATTAAGTAATTGTGTAAGCTTAACATGGCACTTTAATATATAAAAGATAAAAGTATTTATTTTTCAGGTGCGCCATGAATCTTTCAAAGTCCTACATGCACTACTGTCTCATGCGAATCCGGAAAATATAGACCCTTTCTTTGATATATTGTCTACATATTTGAGAAGTGCTATGACTCATATTGATGCCAGAATACAAGAAGATTCACTCCTTTTTCTAGACTTATTATTGTCATGCACTCCTGAAAAAGTGGTATGTAACTTTCACAAAATATTACCAAACTTTTTGGATATGATATCTAAATTGAGAGTTGATTCTAAGCCAGGTAGAACCCTGACAGTAAATCTTAGTAGTCAAGTAACCAGTGTTAAATGGAGAGTTAAAGTTCTACATAGGCTAAAGGACTTTCTCAGTATATATGTTCAATTTAATGTGGACAAAGATAATAAAACACATAATTTTGTAAAGACGTCTGTGTTTGATGACACAAAGTTGAATCATTATATGTTATTCAATCATAAATATGTCTCGACATGTCACATTTCAAATTTCTCAGCCAGAAACTTGCAGGATACAACACATTTTGATGAAATCGAGAAATTTAAGGAATACATAACAACATTGACACCTTTGCTATACGAGACATGGCTTGAAGTTTGCCCTAAAGCAAAATCAGAAATGAATATAGAGACTGTTATAAATGATGATGCAGCTTCACTTTTAAAGTATATCTTGAAAATAATTTCTCTACTATATTTTCTTGTTCAGCATCTTAATGAGAAAACCCCTAGTTCTAACATTAAACAAATGTTTTGTCAAAAATATAGGCAGTTGTTCACCCAACATTTGGTTAACACATTTCCATATGTTACTAATGTTAGAACAAAACAGACAAAATTGAATATGTCACAGTTTGAAGATGGAATAACAGACCCAAAAATGGTTGCAGAAAATTTAGAGATATGCCTTTTGTTTGTAAAACTTAACCCAAATATCAATTTAAAAAACCACAGTAAAGAATTAACTTCAGTATTAAGTTATATTGAAAAGAAAATGTATGCATCGGCTTCTGAGACCATTAAGGATATTATTATAAATATTCTTAATACAATCTTTTTAAAAGAAAATACTTGGAATAAGAATTTGGCTCTCATGGATTCCTTGTTTAGCAAGATTATAAGAGAATATTTCAATACAGAAATATGTAAATCTTTCAAGCAACAGATATTTAGTTTGTTATGTAAGATTTCCCTGAGTGACTGGTTAATTCATTTTCATCATCGCAATGATTTCAAAGATTGGCTTAAAACTCTACCAAATGTATTGTTAGAAGAGTCTGTAACAGTGGAGACTGTAAACATACTTCACATGTTTGCTATCAGAAATAATGATTCATTCAATAATGCTATAAAATCACATCTTTTGGACATTGTAGACAACCTACCAAAAATTGTTATAAGTAATGATGGCAACCCAAGTTCTTATCACAAACTTTTTTCACTTTTATACTGGATAAAAAATTGGGATCATAAGTCTTTAAATTTACTAGAACAACAGTTGATGAATAACCAATATAAAAGTGACCATGGAAAGTATATATTTGATACATTAAGATTAAGGGTAGGTGGCATTTTATAGATATTATTAATAAAAGAATTACAAAATCAATAATATTTTATTCATAAAATCAAACAATATATATTTTGTCACCCAATACAAAGGAGAAATTATGCTACAATGTTATACTATAATCAGTAATCACATATTGGGTAACCTCAGTAAAAATGCAGTCATATGATCAAACAAAATTCTAAACTATGTGGAAGCAAGCATCCCAACACTCCAAATATTTCTCAATTTTACATATAATACTGTACGTAGTATGTATGTAGGTAGTTAATTATAAATTACTTACAATCCAACTACAGAATAATCTTAAATAAACTATAATGAGGTACCAATTGTTAATAATTAATTCTGAGATTCTATAGAATTTGCTTGATTATTTAATCTTTAAACTGTGCAAACTTGTGTGCTTTAATGACATGAGTTATATGTATGCTGCATATAACTCTATAACTCGGGTCATTAAAGAAAGGAATCGATAATTCCGACGCAAGACATCTGTCACTCTCGCACGTTAGTTAGGATAGCATGTGCGTGAGGGATAGAATGTCCTACGTAGTCATTTGCGATTCATTCCTTAATGACACGAGTTATACAAGGAAAAATGAATAATATCATTTTAGTTGTAACATATGTCAACCTTCAGAGAATGTTCTTATTATTCAAGGAACACAAACAAGTTTAACCATCGTATTTGTAAACAAGAACAAGTAATTACTTTGTTGCTAAATAACCAAGTTATTATTTTGACACTAGAATTCTTCAATAAAACAAATGGTTACTTGGCAACGAAAATGGTGAAAAATACAAATACTCATAGAGCAACACTGCCGAACGAAATTGTAAAAAAATCACAGCGCGAAATCGGGCATAGATGAAACTTACGATTTTTTTTATTGACAGATCTAAGATTTGTACTGTCTAGTCGATTGTTTTGTCAAACAAGTCCGACGATTGAATTTTAACAAAATAATATGAATTTTGTGATTTTGAAAAGTCGTTAAATATAAATAATATGTTAATAATTCTACTTATAACATTTTGGCATTTTTGATCTATAACATACACTCGCACGATTTGACTCGGTCTTGTAAAATATCCGACGCGCAACTAATTTTGTTTTTGAGCTGACCCAACAGCAGGCGAAAGTCGACAGAGGGGAATGCTGTGAGTGTCTACTCCCCTCCTGGCCGCGTCGGCCGTGTTGCTCTAATCTATTACATGGTTATAGCTCGTACCAATAAAAAAACGAATCACAAATGACGACGTAACACATTCTGTCCCTCTTGCACGTGCTAAGTATTGTGCAAGAGAAACAGAATGTCTTGCGTCGGCATTTCCGATTCGTTTCTATAATGTTTTACAGTTTCTACTTGATCAATTGTTTGAGTATGAAATGAAAAATGTGTCATTACCTATGCAAAAGTAATCTCGAATTCTTGTTTATAATTACGGATACACCTAACTTTCTCCTAACTAACTCTTCCCTTGGGTATTCACATTTTTTGTAATAATTCTGTAGGATTTAACTGTCTATTATACATTTGTATACATCAGTTATTTAATCTGGCTCTTGTATTATTCAGACCTTTACTATTTTCAATAAGTAACAACATTGTGTATCAATAAAAAGTCACATAATTTACCTTCCATTTATAATAACTAAAATATTTTAGACAGCAATTAAGATCAGCATCCTCTGGTATTTATTACAAAATCTTCTCTAACAATGATAATGAAATTGGTAATGAGGACAACATCTTTGTAAAGTGAATTCTAAAACATAAGAACTTACAGTTCGCGCATGCAATGTTGAATTAAAAAAAGATTCCAACTAATTGAAAACATTATCCTTTTTTTGAAGTCGGTTTAAATCAAAATAGCTTTACCTCAGATAGATAAATTTAAAATCATATTTTAATTTAAGTATCGATATGAAAGCCTCAATAAAGCAATAAATATTATAGACTAGTTCATCTACATGCTAAAATACTAAGAATAAATACAATTAAAAAATGATTCACTAGTTTTGAGTCATTAAATTTGGCAAATTTTGGCTAAAATATAATCATCATAATAATATTTAATAATAATAGATATGCTGAATAAAACTTAGGTTCTCAAAGTACCTACTCAATTGCTTGTTATACGATATACCTTTGTTGTTTTGTTTTTTATTGAGAATTCAGTTCTCATAAATGTTAAAATTAGTAACAAATATGTTATATTTGGCATTATATGCTATAAATTGAAACTACCATAAATGGCTTTAGATGGATGAGTAGATTAGAGACAGTAAAATTACGATCTTTTGTTTTCATATTTTTGACTGTTTAAAATGCACCCACATCCACAGTGGTGTTACAGTATTAGAGCCTGGTCGCATGATTACGGCGGCGGTAAATAATGTGGCCAGGCTCTTACGGCCAGTTTCAAAAATCAACATCCAGTAAAAGGTGAGGATAAATCTGGTTGTTTCTTAGTAACAATTGTTATTATAAGCTAAATAAGAAAATATAGAGAGAGAGATATATATCTAGGCAACACAGATCTAATAGACCTTTTTTACTGGAGCTAAAAGTGACCATTAATGAACACCATAAGTTCGCTAAATATCTTTTTATTTGACCAATAACGAATTTGAAGAATTATAGTTTTGACCTAATGTCACACAGACTTGACCAATGACGTATTTGTCGTGAAACTCATAAGCCCTGCATACACAAAATATGATTGGCAATGGACACCGCAGGCAATGCTGAGTAGGGCTGATGATGATAAAGCTCTTTCAAATTAAATTTTTAATGGGGTCTGTTAATTTGCTGCAGTGAGTGGGAGCACTTCAATATCAAAATAATACCCATCATGCAACTTTACGACATAAAATAATAATATCTTTATGATGCACAATTATATGATAATTCCATTTACCAACATTCTTAAATCAAAGAACATGTTATTTTTATATGGAGGCATTGGGCTATTTGTTAAATAGGAAAAAAAAATATTATGGAAGAACAAAAAAATTCTTTGCATTATATTTTTAAAAGCACCCGTTTTATTTTACATATATTCAGCCAAAATATTAAAATTATGACATTTTTTATCGTAAGTTTATTGTTATTTAACATGCTAAATAACGAAAATATGTTTCTTTAACCATTAAGAAGTGCAAATATAAAAAAAAACTTTTAAAAATTGAGACATTTTTATATTAAATGATACCTTTCATTTTTTTATCGCAATAACCATCCTAGACAATATTTGCTATCAGTAGAACCACACAATGATTGATTGTTGTTAAAAAACAAATTTATTTTTAGCCTTAAGAAATAACATGTCCTTTAAGCAAAATCCACTGAAACCTCATTTCCTATCTTTGTGAATTGTTTAAAGTCAATTGAGATTGAGATAGAATGATATTAAAGCAAGATTTTATTTTCATTCAAGAACATGCTAATACTAATATGAATATTGAATTGAATAGTTATATTTTTATTAGGTACCTATACATTATTAAATCATAATTTACTGTTGGGTGCGTATCTAAGTAGTTTACGACTTTTGTTATTCGAAAGGAGGTCTCAATTTTATTATCTTGAAGTTAAAACATACTCTTTTAAAAGTATTTTATATTAACAAAAAAGACTCGTCATCGTCACCTTACTCTTGTATCTGTAGAGAGAATTTGAAAGCTGTTCTATTTAACAGTAATATTATTAACACACCTAATAGTTTTATTATGACATTCATTTGGAACAATATTATTGCGTTTTCCTTTTATTAGATTTTTTTGCGCGAGGTATTGTAGCGGAGGCCGACAGCATTGTCTGAAAATAAAACAAATAATTGTAAACTAATTAAAAAAAGCACAAGCACATCTATAGGCATGGCAACTTTTTCGATATGATTTTGTAATTATTTTACGGCAATTTTGTTATACTAGAATACTATTAATAATGTTCATTGGGCGTCAAATATAATACAATACATTTTGTTATCTTTTTCATAGGTTCATTTTATTACACAAAAATAAATAATTACAAATGCAAAAACTAAGTGTTAAAAAAACTTAAAGAACCGTAACAACAAAACACAATCGACGTAAATGCAAACGTAAAGTCTAGAAAAAAGAATGTCAGTTTTATAGATATTAGTTAAACGCATACATACCCTTACTAAAATCGAAGAATAAGCTTGGATTAGCCACTCTATGTTTTGTCTCAGTTCATTTGAGTTATATGAATAAAACATGTCTAAGCTTATTCCTCGTATGTTTAATAAGGCGGAAAAAACGCATACAAAGTCAGTTCGGTAAATGTGTTTAGTGATTAAGAATCTCCAATAGAAAACCAGGCTCATGCAAATATTTCACTCAATATTTTGCACAATACCGAAACCACAATCACATCACTACATACTTTTAATCTCGTATCCTCCCAGCAGTTAATGTTTTCAGGATTTAGGGAAAGCTTCTTATACGTCCGTACTTTTGGATGTAGTTGGCATTTCCTCATGCAATGAAACATACTTATATTCAGGATGGCTCTCTATTTTAGCCTCTATGAGTTTCTGTAAGGCATCACTCTTTTCGATTATATCACTCGATACAATTTCGTTATCGAAATCAATCGCATCTTTAAAACTACCTTGCTCTTCAGCTACGTCGTCTACAAATGAAGGATTAACACAGCTTTGGAACTCTTCAAATTGTTGGTCAACAGTCGAAGATCGCCTACTATGATCTCCAGAAGAAGTAGATACATTGTCAAATTTTAAACTTTTATCATCGTTTTTATTCCAAAATACTAATTTGTTTGGCAATTGCAATAATTTACCCAAGCCTGAACTATGGCTTTTGGGAATACGACCAGGTGATTTTGATTTATGCCGCCTTTTCTTTTCAGCAATCGGATTAACTACTTGTAGCCCTCCCTTTATTGTGCTTTCTGTTATATTGGGCATTTGGTTAATAATATCATTTAAACTTTCCTGAGACGTTGTGGCCGCGTTACATTCCAAATTAGCCCTATTGTCCGAGTTTTCATTCGGTAAGTCTAGCTTAGGTGGTGGAGGAGCTTTAGCTTTGCCATATTTTCCTTTAGGCGACTTTCGTTTTATTTTTGGTGAATCTTCTGGAGTTCCAAATGAGGCTTCATCATCACTTTCAGTAGAATAATTTTCAGAAATTAAAGTTTCCAAACTTGTCGACTCGATGTCTGTTACAGTATCAGATCGATTAACAATATCGATATGTTTATCTTCTACATTAGTTTCTAAAAAAAAATCTTTAGTTTCATTGGACTTGTTTTCTAGCGGAATGTTAGTATTGTTATATACCATATTGGTCTCAGAATTTGCTCCTACGTCTGGATGATGTGTGTGAATTTCTTTGTTCACATATTCATTTTCTAATGGCTCATCCTGTTTCATTTCTACAGTATTATTTACAGGCGACTCTTCTGGAGATTTTGGTTTATTTAATTGTGTCTCTTTCGTTTCAATATTCTTTGTTTGTTCAAACGGGTAATCACCAATTACTTGGAGAATTTTTATTTGATCTCCTACATATTGATATATGAAAGGGGGGTCTGTATGGGATAAGTATATTGGAGAGGGAACATTGACTAAAGGGGGCATATTCGTATATTCTAAACAATCGTCGTCCTGTAGCTCCTCGATGATTACTTCACTTTCCTTTAAATAAAAAGTTCTTAAGTCTAAATCAAACATAAGATAAAATAAACTAAATGTTAAGTAGTAAATGCAAGAGCAGACTTATAAAAGATATCTAGACTGGTACATACAAACATTGATCATAAGAGTGAGGGTGCGAAATTCACTAAACATGCAATAGTCTTCAAGAGAGAAAAAGCATGAAATGTGAAAAAGGTCTAAGAAAATTCGAAACATCAATTTTGTTCCTATCTATTTATAATTTCTATTACATTGAGCTTTTAATATATCTTTAAAATTAATGACAATATTACGAATTAATATTCAACTTTAAGCACATTTAAAATTTAATTTATCTTAGCATTTATATATAATCCAATTTCCATTGTATTTGTAAACAACTTTTTAGAAGCACCATTCCAACCCTGTTTTAGTGCAGAACCGTCCTTCAGGTTTTGTATCAAACGTAAGTATTACCGTATCCTATAAATTTTGAAACCTGATAAGACGTTTCTACAGTATAACTCACCCTCTAAAATTTATATATAGATAGGTTAATTACATCAATTTTAATAATAATGATAATACGATAGGTTTAATTTTTCAATGTAATACAGAGAACAAATTATTACAATAAAAATTGTGATGTTTAAGTTGTGAAAATATCTTGGTTTTACAATGATTTTGATGGCAATATGAACGCAGTACATTAGCGAGATATTGTAATTAAAATATATTATGAAAAAGAGGAACTGGTGTGATTGAAAAGGAAATTTAACAACTATAATTAAAATTTAGAAGACATTGAGCAGGCCCTTAAATAAGTATGTGGCCGTCAATGAAATAGTAGTGTTGCAGAATTATCGTCAGTTGACTTACAAAATATCAAAAAAACGTGTGGCACTCGGAGACTGCCGCGGTAAAGCTATTGCATAGCATTTTTTATCAACTTATGCAATTATAATTATTTATTTGTAGAACGTTAGTCCCGTGGCAAAAATTTAATACACTGCGCCGTTTAGTTTGATATCAGGATGGCGAAAATTGTGTTCTATTGGTATATGCACGCTCGTAAGGTTTTTTCGTTACAGATTTTTTTGATTCGGTCCCCGCGCTCAAAGCCGATAAAAGCTATACAATAGCTTAATAATTTAATTAAACTCTACAATATTTTTAACCAGTGTATGACTATTGCAATATGTTCTGACCTGTTCCGTGGTTCTGACGATACTCAACCAACAATACTATGATATACACCAAATATAAAATGTAAAATAGTAACAGATGTAATATAGTCTTCCCATTTTAATAGTTCTTTGCCTCTCGCACACGGAGGTGGTTCGGTATAATCCTAAAAAGTTTATATATTATACTTGCATTACAATTATATTACATCTGTTCCTAACTTTCCTCTTGCAATTTATAAATACACCTTAATTTTTTATTAGTTTTGAAGCCAATACAATAATAAACATTTCTTCAACAATAAGGTCGCCTTGTTCTATTACATGATTTTTTCTTATAATCACAAATCAATTTTCTTCGCCGAGTTGACAAAAATGACTTCAAAACCGACAAAAAAAAATAACCCTTAACTCATTCTGCGATCCCATTCATTTCATAGTCGAGAAGGAGGTCGGCTTATTTCAAATTAACACATTTTCTTTTGCTTTGAAGGTTACCGCGGAATGAGTAGTTCGACAGTTTGATGGTGATGATATAAAGCAGACTCCCGGTAATCAGACTTGCCTTTTACATGTAAATCTTCAGATTTTGATATAGAACTTGTCGAATAATAAGGCAGAGGGCGATTCAACCTAAACGGTAGTTGTGATATTATTAGCGAGCGTAAATAAACAACTCGTGGATACATAAATTACTAAGCCGCGAATTGGGCTAACTTTATAACCACTACTAATTTTGCATCATGCTACGGCCATTGTCGCGCTATTGCGAACATTTTCCGTTTTCACGACAAGTCGAGCCAAGCAGAGACTACTGCTTGTATTATTAGATGCGTTCTGAAAATGGCAAATGTTCGCGATGGAGCAATAGTGAGGCCGTAGCATCATGCAAATATCTATTTGTTTATGAAAGTTCCGAAGTAGACATGCTACTCAAATGCACCAATACACATCAATCCGCCGTATGTGGTAATTCTATAGACATATTTAATGGACTGAGAGTGGACTTGGCGTTGGCTATCCAGCAGAATACCAGATCCGTAGTGTCTCGTCATCGTCAAAGTTTGAGTGGAAAATGCTTCTTTATTTTACGTCGGAAAGGGTCGCTTTTTTCATAGAAACTGACTTTGGCAATACGATTACGGAGCTGTCAAAATTCGTGCTTGGGCATCTGACCTCGACGGTCGTAGTGCGCGCGGTCCACAATGCGCGCTCGAGTAACTTTGTGACCCATACTTCGTTTTTGTATTACTTAAGTCTTATCTCTCTTTAGAGAGTTGTCATTTTCATGCGAGTGTCGCTCAGTCCATTTCCTACGTCTAGGGTACTTTACAATAAATATGGGTTACTTACTCAACACCGGCTCATAGCGCCATCGCCCATTTACTGCACGGATGCAATTTATTAATGAATAAAATGAAAATGTTGAGATTTCAATACAAAGACACTATCTCAGCTAAATTGCAGCAAAATACGATGGTCCTAAAGCTGCGCACAAGCACGCACTATGTCTGCCTATGGGAGATGCAGGGGGTCTGTATTTTTTTATTAAGAAGTAGGTTCGACAAATGACCACCCCACCTGATGTTAAGTGATGGTGATGTCCTTACGTGAAGATAGCTGGTACAACAGTTCTACCTGCCACACCAACCATCCTCACTTAGCCGGAACGCATGTTGCTTCTTCACGCCTCTATTAAAGGATCCCAGGTTTGATGCGACACCGCCTAGCGAAACGTCTGTCGGATTACCGGGGGTCTGTATGATAGGGAAGCCGCGAGTCAACTGTGATCCAGGTTGTAGTATGAAGAAACATTGTCAGTAGGAAGGTTACCAGACCTCGGCGGGCGGCGGTCGCTTGACGGCGGTGATTGTCGTAGTCCGCGTGGTTCGTACGCGAGCTCGTGCCGCTGCTCCCAGCGACGCGGTGCGCGTCAACGACGCTGAGTTGTCCGCGCTCGAGTAGCCGGAGCTTATGTCCTCCGTAGACTTTATATGGCTGCAAATGGATATTGGGTCAATAGAGTTTTCCCTTACTGCCTAGCTTGTTTTAAAAAAAAATGATTTCCTCTTTTTCGAATGCATGTGGAACTTATTATACGCGGTGCGCGTCCACGACAACGAAGCTCAGTTGTCCACGCTCTTATGTCCGAATATCCTTATATGTGTAAATTGCTAGTCAGATTTGAAGTCGCATATTAACAAGAAATAAAGAATAATATTAAAAAAAAATATCCATACAAACAAAATTTAGCAAATTAACATATCTTGTTAAAAATATTATTAAATAGGTATTGAAAAATGAATATATTTTAATAGGCCTTAATTAAACAAGGTACCTAAAAAAGGCCTTAGAACGTAATAGGTAGTATAATTTGCTTCGAAACATTAATAAGTCTTACTTAAAATAAGTACTATATAGTAGAGGTGAGTTTTACTGACAATTAGGGCATACAAATGCGTCTAGATCAACAGAATTCCTATTAAGTACTAAAGTCAAAAATAAGGACTATTATAAAAGTAGGCTTTATTTAGTACATTATTCTTCAGTATAGCCCTTATTTGTATCAGGTACCTTACTTCCACTCCAATTTTTTAAACATTTCAGCTTCTCTGAGAAATAATAGGGTGAACCATTATAACCCTACTACTGTTGATATTAAAAAAATTGACATTAACACAGACGAAATTACTAAACTCCTTTTGAAACTTGACCCATCAAACTCTTCTGGTCCGATTTCTTTACCTGCTCTCTTTCTTATTAACTGCGCGAAAAGCATAGCAACTCTAATCTCTATTCTTTTTAAGAGATCTTTGGCGGAGAACGCTGTGAAAACTATATGGAAACGTGCCTTAGTAACGCCGGTTCATAAGAAAGGGTCTAGGACCGATTACTAATTAGAGCCTATTTCAAAGCTCTTTATTATATCAAAGATCTTTGAAAAAAATATTTATGAGCAACTTTATTCGTTTAGTCCTACGCAGCATGGTTTTCTTAGGGGTCTCTCTGTTGTGTCCAATCTGATATAAATCCGTTACTGCAGCCATGGGTAGTGGCCTTCAGGTAGATGTTATCTATACGGACTTCAGTAAGGCTTTCGATCGGATTCAACATGCTTTACTCTTGAATATTTTGTAAATGATTGGCATTGGTGGCGACCTTCTAAGGATCCTTTCATATAGACAATTGCTCAGAGGCAGTCGTTCTCGTTCGAGGATTTCTTTCAGTGCCTAATCCAGTCCCACAAGGATCCTTGCTTGGACCGCTTTTTTATTTATTTGCGGTGTACTTAAGTGACGTGAGCAGTGTTTCCGGGCCTCAAAGCTGCTCTGTTACGCTGATGACATAAAAATCTTAGCACCTTTCTTCCTTTCCTTTCTTAGCAAAGCATTACTTTGGAACAGTAACAAAACAAGAAGCATTGGTAACAAATTAGGTAATGTAAGGCTTAGTATACACACACATGACTGTGGTCCTAAAATGGAAACGAAAGAAGTTAAAACCAACTCAATGAAGAATTTATATTTCTCAAAATAAAACGATTAAAATAACTGCTAAAACTTGAACTTTATCATACTTAAACGTGATTATGATGTCTACTGTAAACCGTAGTGGTGGACGATCACTATTAATATGTGTAAATTAAAATAATGTTAATGTTTTGAGTAATAAGCACAACAATTACTAGTTCTACCTTAGTTGTCATTAATTATAGGGTTTAAAGTTTTTAGTTTTAACCTTGGTTTAGTGTTTGTTCAGTTGTATGACTGAAAATTCACTATGGTAGTTGTGTTACAAATAAATATGTGCTGAGTACAAATATTTAAATATTTTTATCATGAAAGTCGAGGACAACATGCTATACAGTCATTGTATAATTTAATAAATGATTTCATGAACTATGTAAGCTTACAGATGCGTATTAAATCAAAATAATTAATATCCCTTGTTGTTTTTCAGTAGCATATCCCAATACTACTCCTACTTTTGCCGAGAAAGATGGCCCTATTTCATAAAAGTAATACCGTGGTATTTTTTCACTTCACCGTAGTAAATTCGAAGGAGTTTGAAATACGTTTTCGCTGGCATGACGTGATGGTAACTAAAATTCAGCCAATCATAGCCTATATTTGTTGTTAAATAGAAACCCTTATGAACATTATAATAAGTTCCACATGCATTCGGAAAACGAAGAAATCCATAATTTTCTCTAAATACTAGCTAAGCAGTATTGGCTTAGCATCCATTGCATTTCTTATGAGAGAATAATAACAAAATAAAAGTGCCAAAGAGTCTTTTTAGGCTCATTTAATATGACACGGACTATCTAGCTAGGCTACAGTGCGAGAAGGATATTTATGAATATGAGTTATAGTTCAAGGAGGGCGCCACTGTCTACGTAAATCACATACAAAAGATGGCGGCGTTAGTGTAAATTTTCGCCAGTCATAACAATTCTTGTATATGTATAGATTGTTTTACTCTTTTAGTATTGTATTATTATGCCAACCTGAGATCAGGTTCATCGGTTCTGCTGGACCTCGTAGACCTCACGTCTACGTCCACTTCTGGGAAATACATCGGCGAGCGGCTGTTCGATTCGGAAGCGCTGCGTCGGGTGCTGAAACCGCTGCTAAATAACACACAAACTATTTAATTTTGATTTTTACGCGCATATGAATGTCGAAAAAAGTTCGCAAATCTACGGAGGTAGTCCTTATACTGAAATAACCGGCAAGAAACTCAGCAAGGGCTGATTTTTCTCTCCTCGTATTATATCGTACAGTATCGTCAATTAAAAGATGATATCAAACTTATAAATATGTATTGATGTCAAGATCTAGGTAAGTATTACAGTGAATTAGAGAATCGAAAAGTTAAAATTAAAGTGAAATTTATTTTATCCTACCTATTCTGCTTATTCTCGGGAAAAGGCTAAAAGCCGTTGTTTTAGTATTGATACCCTGGCCTCGTCTTCTACATCTGTGAATTTTACACGACCTCATCATCATCAGCCTATGAGACACAAGCCTTCACTATGAATGGAACTCTCCACCACGTAAGCGCAGTGTGGATTAGTGGGTCCTAACGACTGCAGCCGTGACCAACGACTTAACGTGCTCTCCAAAGTACGGAGGAGCTCGAGATAATAAATTTTTGATCTTACATCCGATGAGCGACCATAGCGAAAGTTGCTTCGATTGCAGACCAAATACGTTACACTTGCGCCATCTAGTTCTTGTACACAACATAAATGTAGAACAGTGGTGCCTATAGAACCATTCCTGCTGGAAATATATTCCAAGACAGGCGCTTCAATTTCAGATCAAATTCCTTTAAACATAACCTCTTTCCGATTCCGATTTATCGAAATATCGGGGACTCACAAAAAAACAAGGTCATCATCATTATCATCAGCCTATTAATGTCCCCACTGCTGGGCCAAAGGTCTTCCCTCTGGAAGGATTAGCGAAATTGGGCCGTTACCCACCACGGCTGGTCGTTATGGATCGATGGGTGCTAACCGGGATTGCCACCAGCAACTGTAATTGAAGTCATTGCCCCCACTTCAGTTATCTATTCCCATTTGCCTTCGGTGGCAATCCCCGTCAGTCTTAAACCTCACCATCACCAAGAGAGAGGGGGGGGGGGGGTTTAAAAAACGCCAAAAAACATCACGTGAACATTTTGTTGTATTTCCGTGTTCCTGCCCGGTTATTATATTAATTGATAACTACAGGTTCTGGTTTATATTAAATTATTATGACCTAACTAGCAAACCAGTGAACCAAATGTTCATCAAAACCTGATTTAAAAAAAAATGTATTTAATTAAATGAGAACTTTTTTTGTGTGGTTTCGTTTGAAATTCGTGATTTCTCGAAAACCGGAAGTGCTACGTTACTCAAATCCGGTTTGTAGTCTTATCAGACTATTCTTAACTTATAACTTAAATATTCACTTTATCTATCTGTCACGGTTTGGCCGCTGAAACAGCACCACAGACGGACGGACGGACTTGTCTAATAGATAAGAGATTAGGCGCCCGCCCCCTTTTTTGCCCAGAGGTGACATACCAAGACAGTGAAAACTCAGATTATGATTGTGGAGGAGGTTTCTGAGGACACTGAAAGTGATGAGTATAATGAAGAACCATGGAACTCATCATCATTATAGTTACGAAAATTGTAAAACATTTTTTTTATGAAAATAATAACAAATCGAAATTACTTAAATATATTTTTAATATTTTTTCTTAATATTTTGTTACTATTCATAAAAAAAAATATAAATACTTATAGCTAACCAGAGAAACTCCCCGGAATAAAAAAAAGAAATAAATACATTTGAGAGCTAGATCAGCAAAATACCCCTATGTGCGTATCCGAAGATAGCATCTGCAAATGAGACATAATAAGTATAAATTTACCTCTTTCCTCCGCGCCGTATCAGCCTTGGTTCCCCCATCACATCGTCCGCTTCGTCGCCGCCCCGTTCCTCGCGCGGCTCGCACTCGCTCAAGTCGGACAAACTGTAGCTCTTGCGAAGCTGTTGGACTAGACCTCCACCTCCCTGAATAATTTTACTAAATTATATGACATTCTACTAACCTACAAGGTTAAGCCCAACACTAGCTTTTGAGTGTTGTGTTTCTGTCGGTGAGTAAGGTTCCAGTCCACGTAGCAGGAGCACCTCAATTTACGTTATATCGCGTCACATCACGTTTTTTATCGCGTCTAAGGGGCCGTTCAAGTATTACGTAAACAGTTTATTTACAATTATTTACCCCCTCCTCCCCCTTGTTAGCATAAGTAAGCAAAGCTCTTACCCCGTCCTCCCATGCTTACGTAAACATTGGTACCTATATGCATTTTTCCTTAAATGTATTGTTTTTTTTTATTAATTCATGAGCTTCATGAGCAGCAGTTCTTAAATAGGCTTAGGATAGAGGACTTTAACGCACATGATATTCATTTAAACAAACTGTATTGACACAGTATTCAACAAAGAGTAAGGTACAAATATTATAATCTTATTAAGTACAATTGCGAACATAACGAACTTCTTTCGAATTTTTGGTTCCAATTCCAATTAACAGTCTTCAGTCCATGACACCCGAATCCATGATGCTAACGTAATCACTATCTCGACCTCCCACCCCCACATGTCCCCTGCCTCCCTATAGTGCTTACATAATACTTGAACGGCCCCTAACTGTCAAACTCCATAGTAATTTGACATAATGATATGATAAAAACGAGTAATATATCATATCGCGGTGCTCATGCTAGCGGGGCAGGGCTTCAATATTGATTTCGATATTGTTTATATCGCAAGCGTCTATAGGCTGTGCTGGCCGCTTACCGTCAGGCGGCCCTTATGCTTGTTAGCCACCCTCTTAACATAATAAAAACAACATTTGTCAGCAAGTTACGCGCCCATTTAAAATTCGTTGTAAGCAATCATGTCAAATCTCGCATGTTTCACCAGCAGCGTACGCGCCGAATTTCTTATTTGAAGGCTATAAGGAAATGCAGTGCGTTCGGAGCGTACGTTGCTGACAAATGTGCGATCACCTTTAAATTACATCATTCTTCCTATTAAAAATATGAAAATTTGTATGTTTCTTATTCAACGCAATCACGCAAAAACGGACTTAAGGGATTTAAATGAAATTTGGCACACATAGTTTAATTATAACCTGATTTGAGGTATGGAATACATTTAATCTCGAAAAAATATTAGTTTCCTAAGGGATTCCAAAAAAACTATTATAACTTTGACGGAAGCTAGTTAGTTAATAACGAAATTCACATACTACAACCGGACCTAACGGACATCCTCATGTCTGATAAAAATACAAAAAAATCCTAGAACCCGATTGCTACGCTATCTACCGGGTCTAGTTGCGACTAAATAAACTAAGGAACTCGAATGCACACATAAAATTAATTACGTTTTTATCGGTCCAGCCGTTTAGGATGATTTCCGTTACATACACACGTACAGAAGAAATATTTAAAAATAACTAATCCCAACTCAGTTTTTTGCATATGTTTGCATATCTTATGGTTCGCTATCAAAGTTGCATGTAAAGTTTCAGAATAAAAAAGCTGCTTCGTAGCAGCTTCATTTTTGTTACTGTGTATATTATAAGTTTTTAATAGAATTTCTGCTGTCACCAACATTATGAATTTCAATTAAAATACTTACATTATAAACTATATATCCTTTACAGTTAGATAATCTTATAAAACTAAATTAATCAAAAATAGATGTACTTGATACTTACGTAAATTTTGTTGAAACTCTTGTCCCTATCTTTGCGAAATTAATCTTTATAACTCATGCAAACCTATCCGGCTAGTTGTAAACTCTAAATATTATTTAATGAAAAGTCGCCTGTTTATAAACGGGATTTTATTCAATATTATCAAGATATAAAACTAAGTCAGTCACACATTACTAAACCTAGCGAAGTTATACAAAATCGTTTACAAGTTACATGCGACACAACTTCAAAATTAAAAGTAATGGAGTGAATTTAACATCATGCAATGTAAAATATACAAAAATCTTTGCAATGAGTTTGTGCATGTATTGCATAGGAACAAAAATAAAATAACTCATCATAAATAAAAATACATAAGTCCCCTAAACGGCACGATATGTATTGACTCATTATTATGAAACTTTTTTTAACCAATGTTTAAAATATACTAGTAGATAATCGTTCGTTTGTCAAGAAAAACGAATAGTAAGTATCTATAAGGCATTGTCAATTTATCTAAAAATACATTACTATAGATACAAACTATGCAATATTGACTATCAAAACTATTAAAAGCTTTATTGAATTAACTATATATTCATAAAAGAACTGTGATAGGAATACATTTATGGGAAAACTCTTTCACTTTCTCTCCTGCGTATAACTTTATTTTGATTTTTCTTTCAAAAACCAATGCCATCATTTTTCTTTAAGGGAAGAGGTTCCTCCTCCTTAGCATTCTTTCTTTTTTCTTTTGACATTGAAACTAATTTAATGACTATTTTATCTACAGTCCAATTATCGATATTCCGACATCACTATAGTTTACGTTGAAATTTAGAAACTAATAAAAAAGAACTATAGGTACAATGAGCAGTAACTTAAATTTACAATGAGACGCTTTAATTGGACTACCAATTAACCTCCTATACATTGTCTAAGAGTTATTTAGAAATCACAGTTCCGTTTCGTTCGAACGTTTCCTTTGGTCAGTCGACCTTGAGTTCGTTGAGGTCCTTTTCGGCAGCAGCCTGACTTCGGGTCCTACGCCCCCTAGATTTGCTGCGAGGCCTTTTTTCTTTAGCGACTTTACGTTTGCGAACGACATTGCCTCTACTGCGGGCCGAGCTAGGTTCATAATCTGGATCATTAGCATCGCCTTCTCCTTGTAAACCTTCAATACGATCGTCATCCAGCTCCACTATTTCTACAATCCCAGGCATAACGTTATCAGATCGCTGGTATTCTAAGTCCTCGTAAGTGTCTTGGTAACCTTGGTAACCGTCCGTGACGTCCGGACTAGCGATCGCTTTCCTAATCCTTCCTTCCTGTTCGGGAATCGGCAAATTGAAGTTCTGCGCGAAGCAACGACGGAATGGAAATGTGGGAACATAAGGTAGGGTAGGGGAGAAATTAAAAAAGCGTGTTAATAAAATTAAATAGTAAAAGTAAGCAGTTGAGGTCAAAACATTGAGGTGTAGTAAAATATAAAAAAAAGAATATGTGGTCATGCTTGATGACAAACAGATGACCTTATGAACTGCATTGCGTTTGTGTGCTTGCAAATAATTTCTGACGGCTATATTGGTTGTGCGGAATTCAGCGCTACGCGTGTATGAAGCGAATGTTTTGATTAGGTTTATTTACATAACGTTTTGCGATCAAGCATGCCACGCTATTGTTTAGAACATCAAAACTATAACAAATAAAAACAACACCTAATTATAATCTAATTAATGACACAATTCGAACTCTTGAATTTTTGTCTTGTTAAAGGGTTAAGTCCACCGATACCCTTTTCAGCTGGCAAAGACTCAAAAAAGCCATGATAAATTAGAAAGAAAACTAATTTTGAAAATATTTTTTCTGGCTTTTTTATGTCCATTTATAACGATTAAGAAAGCATGCTGGATAAAATAGAAGGAAAGTTACCTTGATTGCAGTCTGCATGATAACAGTGGTAGCGTAGTTGACGCCCTTTGTGCCTAAGTTCAGCACTGTGTGGTAACCTTGGTCTTTGGCTTTAGCTATGTATTCATCTATTTCCTGAAAACCGAAAGAAATAAGTATGGTTAGTCGGACTTCTTACAGAGTGTCCATGAGATTTCTAAATATTTCTCATGAAATCTTAAATGAAATATAAGACTTAGTTGAGTCATCAAACATTTCTATCATTTATTATATTCATACTAATATTATAAATACGAAAGTGTCTGTCTGTCTGTAATGTCTTTACCCATAAACCGCTGAACTGATTTAGATGAAATTTTTAAACTGTAGCTGATCCGTCAGGGTTTACCTTGATTTTATTTACCGGAGACAACTTTCCTGTGTTTTGGTAAACTTTTAAGGACCCAAGTTCCCTTCAAACAATAAATTCAATTCGTGTTCTGACGTCGGGCCGTGTATCATGGAATTCAGTTTCGTCACCACTAATGAGAGGATGCATGCACACTTTAGTTGTCAAATAGACACATAGACATAGAGATAGTCAAATTTTTATTTTCACACACATGTTATACCCACCACTGCGAACTCAGAGGGGATAAGTGGGTGCTAACGACTGCAGAGTTGGGACCAACGGTTTAAAGCACGGAAGAGCTCGAGATAAGTTTTTGGTCACCCCTTCAATGACCGACGACTGCAAACGTTGAACTTCAATGATCGCAGCCGAACGCTCTAACCACTTGCGAAATCGAGCTCCTCGATCGATCGAGTTTGTTATTCATTCAATCATGCAAAAACGCTTGGACGGACGGACTGATTTGGACAAAATTTGGCACACATATAGATTATTAATATTGTGCCATAGGATTCCTTTTAATCTGGAAAAAATAGGTTTCTGCTGGGGCGCTTAAAAATACTAAAGTTGTCGCGGGCGGGAGCTAGTTAGAAATAAATATGTTTACCTGTTCCCTCCTGCAAAGCGCGGGATGCACGAACTTCCTGTACAATATTGAGGATCCCTTCGTTGCGGGTGACAGCAGCCACAGCACCAACACTATCTTCACCTCGTAGTAGAAAGGGAACCACGACAGGAACACATCGGTGAACGTCTCTGTGCATGTGAACAGGGCGAACACTATCCAGTACATCATCCATTTTACCTGCAACATAAGTTCCGTCATTTAGAAATTTTACCAGCCTATTAATGTTCTACTGCTGGGGCATAGGCCTTCCCATGGATGATATTGGAAGAATGAGCCATGACCCACCACTGCGGATCCAATGCGAATTGGTGGGTGCTAACGACTGCAGATGCAGCCGAGACTAACGGCCTAATGTGCCTTCCCAAGCACGTAGGAGCTCGAGATAATAAGTTTTTCGTCACCCATCCAATGACCGACCATTGCGAAAGTAGCTTTACTTCCATGATCAATCACAGACCGAACGCGCTAACCACCTGCGCCATCGAGCTCCTCAGTATGGTATATTATATATGTTATCAAATTGTAAGAAACTAGGTTTCTTCACCCTTTCCCGAGATAAAGGGGTTGACAGACGGACAACCAAGTTCAGTTTTTTTTCCTTTTAGGTACACAACCCTAAAAACATTACCAAAGCAAACTACTCTCGCGTAAATTCGATCTGCCGAGACGTTTATTATATGGAATAACAACCAATTATAATTTCTAATTTAATAACATTGAATGCCATTATTCATAGTTCCAATGATTTTCATTAATATCTATTGACATATTTAAAACAGTATAAATCATCAATCACAATTTAAACAATAAGCATATTAATTGTACAAAACCGAAATGAAACAATGAATGTTACAATTACAACAAACAGCATGTAGAATGTTTCACGAACAATTAAACTTAGGAAGCCAGGAACAAGGTAAAGGACATAAGAACTGAAGCGTTTCAAACAAAAAGAGCAGGCACGCGTAACAAAGCCGAAGGTTGGCTGCTGCGTGATTCATTTTAGTAACTAAATACATTTATGGAAATCCGTCGTTTATCATATTACTAAACTAAAATGTGTATTATAAAATTGATGAAGACACTTACGTATTCTTTTAAGTTCTTCGTCCGTACCGCTTTGTATGAAGCGTATGCCGGGTAGAGGGTTCCGAATACCAATCTGCAAAATGGATATATAACCAAATAAGAGATCATTTTTGGAGACAATATTCCTAGTGATACGGCTAATATTCCGAAATTGCCGAATGTTACACTAGGTATATATCTGCTAAAGGCCACTCCGAGATTCACAGCGATTTGTTTGCACACTCGTCCTCTCGTCGCTCCGAGAGGGAAGTCTTCATAATAATCACTGCAGCCCGCATTGATATTTGGGTCGTACTTCACGAGATCGTGATCGTTTACGAAAGTTTCAGACGCCACGACACAAGCACATTTAGCCTCTATTTGGTTGACAATGAGTCGGACACTGGACAGGCCGAGACTCAGCGTCGAAGCCCGCAATCTGTCGTCACGGTTACGCGCGCGACCTGCCTCCATGGATACGAAACGACCGCGACATTAGCTCTCGTTGCACAGTTAATGCCTGAACTAAATAGGTATTAAAATTGTTTTCCGAGTGCGACGATCAATATTGCAGTAGATGCGCACACGCCTTTTGTAGTAGAGGGAGACTAAGAATCGCATGTATAATAACTACCTTATACTAATGTGGGTACCAAGGCGCTGCATGTGGAAATCAATAGTGGTAGATATATTGATGTAGTCGATTTGTTGATGAATGAGCTCCGCAGTTTATAAATGAGTTATGTTCAACCGCAGCTATTTCAAGGTAATAATAAAATAAATCTTATCAGTAAATAATTTCAAGAACCGTGTCATTAATTTGTGACATCGAAGGTTACTTACTTACAGGTATTGCTTTACCTGCAATACCTGTAAGTAAGTAACCAGATTAATTTGACACAATTTTGTTTCATTCTCTACAAACGATTTTCTCTAGTTTTACTGAAACCTTGGCTCAAGATATTCCAGTTTGTTCAGCCATCCTACATATTTACGCTTCGGTAATGTGCAAGAGTGCATGACCATTTAATGAGTCAGTCGCCAATAGATGGCGTACGAATATGAGTTGTGTACTTTTTTTCATTGAATAGATTGCCGGACAAATGCCTCCATCAAAACACCTGATGTTTAGCATAAGTTGAATCTAAAAGCGGTAGCCGCTATCTCATCAGCCACACTCAACTGGACTTTACTACTCAGTACCTCAACAATATACACTACAGAATCATAACACGACTACTACGGAATATTGTTTTCTGATTCGGAGATTACACTGCACTTTATTATATGTTCTCTACAGAAGTTGTGTCCCTCAATGTCGCAGTAAGTTAAACAGCCGTATTTATGATGTATACAGATATAACAGTGAAAGACAGCGTTTATGTCATTATCAATTGAGATTGTGTCGTACGTACGGTCCCCCGCGACAATTGTCTCGACCAGCTGCCCGGACACTTATATAAGTTATAAAGAAACAATTGGCAATTATATGCAAGTGCACAATCATATTGTCTCTTAGTTAACATCAATCCTAGAGGGGCATAATGAAAATAGTACCAATTTAAACATACATGTACATGTATCTATATAAATAATCCTAAATAAACCATTAACAACTGACAAATACTTATATTATTTAAATGAATTTAAAGTAATTTCTTTTTTTTTAGGTCACTCATACCCTGTAAGTTGTTCCTCACCCCATAAACTAGGGCTCTGAGTCGCGGATCATGTTTGCGTTCCGAGACAGAAAAAGCGATACTCGTCACGAGACATTTGAGGCTTCTTTATAAGTGAGTTTTCACCGTGAATAATCTTTCTAATAATAGAAATGTGAAACTGTGTATGTTTGTATGTTTGCCCCACTTTTTACATTAAAAATCAAAAATATTAAAGACGGTAAAGATAATAAAAAATCATAGTCATGTCAGTCCTGAATAGGGATGTCGAAAGTTGAAAAAAATATCGATATATCGATACATCGATATTTTAAAAAATATCAATTTCGGCTTCGATATATCGCGAAAAAAACATCGATATATCGGACCAATCTTCCCAAAAATATCTTACAGTAGCTCACGAAATATGATACGCGGAATAATAATGGAACGAAAATTTTCTCCCTAAAAATAGACCCTTTTTTCCAATGATGACATAGACAATACTAAATACAGCACAGATCATAGATATATTAAATATCATTAATCTGAGATCCAGTTAAGATTTTTCCAGATACGAATTTAGTTAGATCGTGATATACCGCTAATAATTAAAAAAAATATCGTTTTTGATACGAATTTCGATATTGGTTATTTTGTATCGATGTATCGATATATCGAATCAAAATATATCGGCAAAAAATATCGATATATCGATACATCGATATATTTTCAACAAGCCTAGTCCTGAAACAACGGGAAAATTGCGAGTCGGAGCGTATAATTTTTTGTTTTCGTCACAATTTTACCTGGTACATATATTTTGTATGTGTGTTTTCAGTATTTGTTGTTTAAAAACAGCAAATGGGACATCATATACCATAATTTCACATTCTTAACTAGTTTCGATTTCGATATTAAGGAGTAACCCTTAAGGAGTTCGGCAGACCAGAATGCGAATAGTTATCGCCACAAATCTTGCTGAAAAAGTAGAAAATGCGATAAAACGGGCATAAACGAAATTAATAAAAAAAAATATACAAAACATAAACTGGATGATTAATTTTGCGCCACTATTGGAATTCGATTGCGTATGGTATTCATATTATAAATCGAGTTTCTCAACTGTCTATGGACTAAAATAGAAAACCAACAATTTGTTCCACATACGTCAGTCTTTCACAGATTAAGAACCAAAGTAGGAGGTGTTCTAATTTTCATAAAAGCTACATCGGCTTTCCCAATGTATATGTCGCAGCCATCTGGTTAAATTAGTTAGCAATCCGTTCACTAAATGCCGGCATTCAATTTAAAGCCTAGACTGAAAGCTCCGAATTGAATCAGGTCTAAGTACGAATTTCGACAGCTCCGAAATCATATCGTCATATTTTGTATGGAAAATGTTAGTTTGTTTTTACGTCCGATATGGGCACTGCTTAGTTTTCATAGAAACTTTGACGATGCTCTACGATTCCGGATCCATCAAAATTCATGCTTGGGTATCACTCAAAGTATTGAAAAATCACGCGCGCCGGTAAAGATGACTGAACAAGACTCAGAATCATAAAAATATGTGATCTCTGAATTAATAAATATTGTTGTCTGTCCTATTTATTAACGGAAACTGGAAACATTTAATTTGTAAAGTATGTGCTTATGATTTCACAGGCCTAAAAACAGTGAATTCGGGTGTTGCTGTATCTACTGAGCGTATAAAATAGAAAGATACAGAAGCAACGGAATATCTAAAGAAAATTTTACTAGGACAAATTCCATGCAGATCAGGAAGCAGACGGGACGGGCATGGACTTTTTTTTTAATATTTTTTTTAGACTTAAACATCTAGCAGTTTAATGCTTTAAAAATATAGCAACGGAAAAGTTTTAAGGAATTACTAATCCACAAATTAATTCCGTGCTCTTTTTTTCAATAAATTCAAACGCGTAACGAAGCGTGAAACTCAGCCAAGTATGAATTTTGGCGTATTGATTTCCTAACTCTTAAATCGCAGTTAAACTCGGTATGAAATTGGTTACAACTTTCACTACCATATACGCTAAAACGGAAACATAATCACTGAATATGATCTATCTTAAAGTACAGATGACAGCTATGAACAGGGTACGGCAGTCAGACTTTTCCCTATGGTTTCTGATATTTTTTTGTACGGATCGCAGTGTAGTTTTGAGCGGAGGGCAAATATATTATGTATCTGCCAAAAGAACATAAAGAAATTAAAAAAAAACTTTTAAAATGTTTCATTAATTTTTAGGGATCCGTAGTATTATCCGTCTGTCTGTCTTTTTAAACTATTTATCTTGGGAACGCGTAGTTATCTAGTCGGAATTTAAAACATACTCAAGTCTATGGTCCTTTTAAGCTGTGAAATACTAACACTTTTAAGTACCGCGGAAAAAGATACGCCGTTTATAGTGAGTACCTACAAAGTATGTCTCTGTGGGAGAATGTGAGTCCGTTCCGCACTTGTCCGGTTTAACCATTTAGAGATAATACCCCTGCACCAATCACCTGACCCGCAGTATGAGGACCGAGGTACCCCTAACGCGTGTCGGGAGTGAGGGTGGTTTAGCGGAAACCATTGGAGGTCGGTCATTGGATGGGTGACCAAAAATTTACTATCTCGAGCTCCTCCGTGCTTCGGAAGGCACGTTAAGTCGTTGGTCCCGGTTGCATCTGCAGTCGTTAGCACCCACCAACCCGCACTGGGCCCGCGTGGTGGGTCATGGCACAATCTCCCTAATCCATCCACAGGGAAGGCCTGTGCCTACGGTTGCCAGATTGACTGGACTTGGCTGGATTGTCCAGCTATTTCACACGTTGTCCAGTGTCCCGGTTTTAGGCAAAATGTCCAGCAAAAATGAAGCTGAAAATTAAAAACCACCAGTATTAGTGGTTTTCCACCGAGTTGGCAACACTGGCTCCGCTGCGGCCTCTCAGCCTCTTGCTATCTATGCCAGGGATTGAATTCAATAATTCGATTGAACTTTGACGAGACTTGTACTAAATTTAAATCTTTTCTAAATACAGATAAAGGTTCTAAAATGATAAATGCGGCTAAAGGAAATGCTAATATGTGGCAGAAAAAGTGATTTCATATTAATTTTGTTTGATTAAGGTTCCTTTGTTTTGTAATAGTAAAAAAATATGATAATGCTGATTAATGTATGTGGCAAAAAAGTTATTTCATATTAATTTTGTTTAATTAAGGTTCCTCTGTTTTGTAATAATAAGATTTTTTTATAGTCATGCTGATTTTTTTTGTCCAGCCAAAAATGTCCAGATATTTTATAATATTGTCCAGAAATTTTGATTTCTCAATCTGGTAACCCTACCTGTGCCCCAGCAGTGGGGACATTAATAGGCTGATGATGATTGTCGACTGACCGCACGACGGACACGATAACCCAAGAATCAA